CTTTGTTGACATGGCTGTAATTGATCCTGACAATCTACTCTTTGTGCCAGTACTTCACTGCCCGTGCTTTGCCACTAATAAAAACTTGTTTTGGAGAAGGTTGAGGGTCACTTGTGAACAAGACAGACATTCTGCTGACAAACTAACGTGAACCTTATTTTCCTTGTAGCTGTATACAACTCTTCTACTCTGTCCGGAACATATTCCAGCTCTTCTATGATGTAGTGCCAACGTACCACAAGTAAGTGTGCGTGTGTATTACCTAGGGCCTGTTTCGGAGAGAGAACGCTATTGGAACAGCCCTACTTGTCCCCAGTTTGTCCACCACAGCCAGAGATCACTAAGGGCTTCCTGCAGCAGCAAAATCTAGTACTCTTAATCTATGATTAAATTGTACCTGCTGCAAAATAGGTGCTTGAGAGTTTCCGAGTCGGCAGTCTTATGACCAAGGAGATAGTTGCAGTTCTTAGAACAGTTGTGTTTGAATCCAGTCACATAACTTTGACCGCAGGTCCGATGCAGAGGTTTTTCATGGTGTTTTTCCTGTAAAAAAGAAGAGCAGTGAAGACTGAAAGGATACAATTCTGTCAGAGAACACTGGGGTATTACTGAGAAGGACTTCTCTCTCTTTTCCTCACCATAACTTTGCTAAAACAAAGTATCTTCCCGTTTGAAAGTCCCTTTCTAGAAACAAGGTGGATATAATACATGGTTCAAACACCAAAGTGCCATTTCACTAGCCATGGAACTCCTTTCCTGTAAGTTCATATGTGGATGTGACAGCAGGTTAAACGCTTTTATTCTGACTGATGTCTTTATCAGGCATTGCCCACGGTTACTTGCAACATCTGTCCGAGACAGATCGTGAGTTTCTCTAGGGTAGGTGTGACAATTTTTTTAACAGAGCCTGGTCTAAATAAATACATTTCTTCCTTTTCTCTTCCTCCTTCCTGGGACAGGGAGAACCTTCAGAAATTACCCCAGCTGGCAGCCATTCACCACAACAACTGCATGTATATTGCTCACCACTTGCTCACCCTGGGACACCAGTTCCGATATCGCCTGACTAACATCCTGTGCGACGGAGCAGCTACCTTTGTAGATCTGGTACCTGGTTTTAGGAGACTTGGTAATTTTGCCTCTCAGTATTTAAATGTATCAATGGATGACATGGTAATTAATCCTGGCATTTCATGCTGAACGATTTAATGTAAGTGCAGCTACTGACTCGAGCAGCGGGTTGTTATTTAAGAGTTTTGAACAAGTAGCAAGGACATTTTCTAGATCGGGAAGTCTGACAGAGCGTTACGGCTGTAAGCAGGACGGCTGTTTAGGGCTTTACTCTTTGAAACCCAACTCTTCGTGTCTAGCACGTAGTTCCAAGAACAGAGCATTATCCAGCAAGACGTTGTAGCACTCAGATATTTTGGGATCTGCTGCTCAGTCCATTGATACTTTCTTTAGCTTATTCTAGGGAAACAAATTCTGAGATAAGTTTGTATAAGCCTAATAGAAGCCTGTCATCCATAGTTAATTTTACCATGCAGCTCTTTTTTGAAAGTGTTGTAGCAATGCAAGCTGTGCGAGAGCTTACCGCGACTGTAAAATTTGCTCTATGAGACTGTTTAGAGGCTGGAAATTCCTTTAAAAATAAAACATTCTAATAAGTTCATTATTCAGCACTTACAGTCTCTAAATTGGCAGAGCAAATTTAGTAATTGCTTAATTGCTTCTCTCTGCTTGTTTTTGCTCCTAAAGGGATGGAGTGTTTTCTGGCCCAGATGCGAGTGCAGAAAGGAGAAATCCTGGAGAGGCTGTCAAGTGCCAGGAATTTTTCTAATATGGATGATGAGGAAAATTACTGTGCAGCAAACAAGGCAATAAGGCAGGTAAGCAAGGCAATCAAAGCCAAATATCCCATCGTCTGTAGATGTTGTCCTTGGGAAGGCACAGTGTGTAACCTCAGTCCTGAGAACTGCGCGGTGTTTCAGCAGAATGCAACTTCTCAGAACAACAGTTTTCTGGCACGATATTTTTTCCCCGGTTGTGTCTTTTTGTAAAATTGGAGTAGCTGAGTTCCTCTTGCTCCAAGTTGAAATGAACAGCTTCTTAATCTTGAATTTTTGCTAATGTTTTTCATTTTTCAAGGAACAGATCTGTCACGCTTTTGATGAGCCTTAATGCAAACTGAAAACGTTGCATTTTTTCCTAGGAGCGTCTGCTCTACGTGACAGCAGGATACTTCATTGCCTTTTGCATCTTTCAAACGGGTTTCTCACCATATGTGGTCACCTTATCATTCGGCGACTCTCAGTGTTCTTTTTGATAACGTGTAGATAACACAGAGCTGTTGTCTTCCAGGTATTGCATCAGTTGAAAAGACTGGGAAAAGTCTGGCAAGATGTCCTTCCGGTGAACGTATACTGCAAGGCCATGGGGACTTTACTGAACACAGCGCTCTCGGAGATTGTCACTAGGATTGCTGCCCTAGAGGTAACTGCATGAGATGGCCATGCCAGGCATAGGGTGGTGTGACCAGGTGGCATGTGTGACCTCCAGAAGTTCTTTCCAAGATCAGGTTTCAGGGGAACAGTTATCTTTCAGGTAGAAATGATAATTGTGGTCCTGTCTGTGGGAAATAGCCAAGATACCAATAACTCACGTCCAGTTGAGACCATATATACTCTTCCATGACTCTGTAGTCAAGGGGAGAGTCGGGGAAGTGGCCGTGATCTCATCTTAATTTGGATTTAGGTTTGTCACTCCTCCTATAAAGTAGAATCAATCTCTTTTTCTTTGTTCAGGGCACAGGAGTTAACTGTTGTCTCAGACTCCATCTATTCTGATACATTTTTAGTCTGTGCCTCTCTAATCAGCCTCTCCATCCTATCCAGGCACCAGATGCCGAAATACCTGTGGCATTTCAAACTGAAATTCTTATCTGGTTAAATCTCCATTTGGCTCCCAGTACTGTGTTTAAGTGATCGTCAGGTTACCTTGGGTCAAGTATAGCTATCCTGATACATTTCTTAATTAAAATATGTTTTCACAGCAAATGATAGAAATATGTTAGTGCATCTGTTCTAGTTGTAGTCTGCATCCAAAGAGCCTTCCCACTGTGCATTAGGCCAGTGAGTGCTCTTTTCCCATAACAGCTAGTTTACAGGACACTTGGTCAGGCTGTGCCTGCCAAAAAGCTTGGCTTTCGTCGTTGGGCTGGCAGTGCCCGAGTAATTACCTTGTAAACTGTTCAGACTTTCATCATAACACTTCTGCTTCACAGAGAAATGCTTGCTATTGCACTGAGATACGCTGTTCAGAAGCACAACCGTTGTTCTGAGGCAGTCGCTGAGAACTTGCCGAAGTAGCTATTCATGAAATAGGTTACATTAGCTTGAGAACGTTAAATGTGATCTAACCTACTGCCTTCATCTTCACACACAGAGCCACCTTTCTTCGTTTCACTTACTGCTTGGCGCTCCAAAAATAAATCTAACTGCTCCCCTGTTAACCTTTGTTCAATTCCAGGATATCTCTGCAGAAGATGCAGATAGGTTGTACTCCCTTTGTAGGACCATGGTGGAGGAAGGACCCCAAGTTTTCACCCCATTACCTGAAGACGACAAAAATAAGAAATACCAGGAGGAAGTTCCAGTCTATGTGCAGAAATGGATGACGTTCAAAGAGCTGATGATCATCTTGCAAGCCAACCTCCAAGAAATAGTGGATCAGTAGGTGTCTTCCTTTCTTCCTTTTCAGTTAGTTCTTCACCCCAGTAACAGGGAGCTGAGAAGCGGTCTGACAGCAGCAGGGCACGGCGCTCGGGGGACTGCTCAGATGCAAGGCAGTCGCCGTTAATAAGGATCAGATAACTGCTCCTGGGGCTGTTTCTTGGCTCTGTGCTTATAGTCCGTTTCAAGCTTGCTCATATATTCAGCTGCCTCCTGCAAAGGAAAAAGCAACGGTAAAAAAACCGAAATGCCACAGGAGAGCCAACCACAGAGTGATTGTGCATCCCCCTTGGCTTCTCTAAGCTCAGAAGTATTTCACGGTAAGCAGCCTGGCATCTTGCTTACTGCTTTTGATGTTAGCTGTGCCTTGCTGCTGCAATCGTTCCGCATGATCGGCCTCTGCTCTTTAGATGCTGTTTCTTGCTTCTTTTAACTTGCAAGGGGGATTCATCTGAATTATGCATGAGGATTTGCATAATTACTTCTATTACTTTAGTTGGCATGAGTTGTCAGAAGCTAGACATTCCCTCTTCACAGCTGCCTCACGCATACGTCTGAATGGCAAGAAAACACACTGTCCTCAGCAGGCTAAACTGAAAAGGTAGCAGGCATGGAGAAAGCACACAGGGAAGGCAGTTCCTTTCCTGTGCCCTGCTCCTTGCTGCTGTTGGAACAATGTTAGACACCAAAGGTCCCCAACTCTTCCGCCTGGGCATAAACCACTTTTTCTTTTTCCCCCTGTTTGGGAGGTGAATGGGAATTTTGCAGACAGGCTTATTTTGGAGAAGGAAAAGGTACAGTTTGCATCGAGTGCAAAAATCACCTCACAGCCTGTTGCTTCATATACCTAGCTAAACAATTCTGGACTCGAGTTGCATACAGCTAATAGGCTGCTAATTGGATTTGTTTTGCCTTCAGACTTACCACTGTAAGGAGCGCTCAAGGGCTTGTTTTAACGTGGTGTTTCCTTCTTTCTCTCCCACGTAGGTGGGCAGATGGGAAGGGGCCTCTTGCAGCTGAATTCTCCGCAGCTGAAGTGAAGAGTCTGATCCGAGCCTTGTTCCAGAACACAGAAAGGAGAGCAGCAGCACTGGCCAAAATTAAGTAACTGTGTGTTTACTCCTCTGTGTTGCATCTTCTGATAATGCAAGAGCAAATTGAGACTTTCAAATATTTTTTGGATTTGACTCTTCTTACTTGTACTGGTATAAAAAGCTTATGTTAGGTAAGTGCTTCCTGGGGCCTTGGCTGAGGGAGAAGAAATGTTTCCTAGCTCAGTGTTTGTAGGGCAAAGAGGGTGGCTCTGGGAGTCTGGGACCAGAAAATCAAGGGGTAACACAGACACCAAGTGCTTGTGCTCCATCTGCCAGGCAGACGGAGTTTGGGCTTGAAAATTCAGTCTCCTGCTGTGCTCCCCAGGAGTGTTCTGCCCAGATCCGGGTTTTCCTTTGTGAGCTGGAAGGTGTACGGTCCTGGTGACGAAGAGATGCTGCTTGTGATGTTCGCTAATTTCCATTCTCTAGGATTTCATCTTCCTGTTAAGCCCAGCATAGAAATAACTCAAATCTTGTATCCGACATCTCTTTGTGAGAAGAGGTGCTGCTGTCAGATGGGCCTCTCATGCAGGGCGCTGTATAACGTCAGCTCAAGCTTGCTTGCTTAAGGGTCTTGTAGAGGGATTTTTATTTCTCAGTAGTGAATCTTATCTATGCAGTTTTACATCGGGGGCCACGTAGCCCCTTTGTGTCTTACCTCTTCTGTCCCTGCAAATTACATGTGAAACCCACAGACTTTGATAGCTTTTGATACCCTAAGAATGCTGAAGTGCCAAACTTTGCTCTTTCCCACCTCAGGTTTCCCTGAAAAGCAAACCTCAAGAGAGTGAAAAATTAGGGAGGACTGGGGGGAGAGGAGATCCTCTTCCTAGTGAGCCGTTTATCAAGTCACAGGGTTTTGCACAAGGGGCAAAATTCCTTACGGGAAATATCTTAAAACTGACTTAGAATTGTTCAGTCTCACTTGATCAGCTGTAGAAGCCAGTTCAGCTCCTTTACCTTTGTGTTGTGTGTGAACTAGGTAGGTCTGGCATCTGTTGTCTTTCTGGTAGTAAATTTTCTGTCCTTTGAGAACAATGAGGGAAATGTAAATGAACATAAGAAGGGAACAAAGTGTGCACTCATAGCATTATCTTTCAAGTTACAAAAGTCTATGTTTGAGATTTTGAGAAACCTACATTTCTTTTAACTGAAAAGCTCACCAAGAGCATTCATTAAAACACAGCCCAGTTGCTGCAGACACGGAACAAAGTATTTCCTACCATGTAGCGCTTACAACCTGCTTACAAAAGTTTCGATCACAGGGCTCAATGTTTTAATCCGTTACCTACTGTTGTGTCCTTTTCTCATTTGCACTTTTGTCTGCCTTCTGCTCACATTTCCAAGAGTCTGTGCAGGGCCTGAATCGCAGCTGGCTTTCACGTTGCCCCTAAGTCATTGCAGAGCTGAGTGGCCGTTCTGCCTGCTGGGTCAGCCAGGCACAGCCGTGGCGGGTGGTGAGGAGACCCTTCTGTTTCTGGCTTTAACTGGCACAGGCAGGGGGCAAATGCAGGCAAATTGGCAGTTGGACTGAGTCCAGCACGTGGGAATGCAGCACGGAAGGGAGATCGTGAAGCAAAGTCCGACTGCCACTTACAACTCCAGCTTTCTCTCTTCTTCCCCTCCAAATAATTTATCTGAAGGCTGAGAGTGTTCCCGTAACACTTGGATCTCACGGGATCCCCTGCCCCTTTACACAGAGCAATCCAAAAACCGTTGTATTTTGAAAAACACCACTTCTCCCACGTGGATTGTTCACAGAAATGTAATTTGCTATTTTCTTTAATAAACTATTTATACTGAACATGCTTTCCAGTGTTGTCTGGGGATTCTGTTAGGGTTACAGTGGCACAGTATGAATCGGTTCTGGACCATTCTTCACCTACTGTGTGGAAAGGGCAAAGCGTTGCTCTGTGAAGTCGCTTCTTGCCTTATTTCTAGTAGGTCTAGTAAAAAAAAAAAAAAAAAAAAAAAAAAAAAAAAAAAAAAAGAAAACAGCAAAGAAAGGAATCAGTACCATAAAAGAGGCTGTCCCAGAGGTTCATGTGTCAAGGGTGAGCATAGGGTAGTGAAGGAAAGAGTTTAAAAGAGGATGCTAGCACTGGGATTTGTCCATGGCTGTAGGGCAGGCTGCCCATCCGCCTTCGCTTGCTCCCACTTACCTCGGTGATGCGATAAATCCATGGCAGCAGCTGAGCCACGTTGGTATAAACCCCAGGGTGGTTGGGTTCGGCACAGCCCTGGCCCCAGCTCACGATGCCTACCAAGCGCCACGCAAATCCATCCTGGCAAACCAGGGGGCCCCCGCTGTCACCCTGCGAGACAGAGCAAGGACGGAGGAAGCAGCTCTGCAAGGTTTCCAGTGCTCCGTCTATACAGACAGCTAAACCTCAGCCCAACATCCGTGCACGGGCTCCACGCTGCAGTGCAAGATGCAACGGGCCCAGCGCTACCCTACACAGTTTTACCTACCCTGTTTACTGCAAGCTTTTGCCACAAACCCCAGCATTTGCTGGAGCCTAACAGGGCCACCCAACACATCAGCCCCTTCCCACGCCTGCTATGCACACCCGGCAAGCACCACTTGCTCCCTCCTGTTACCTGGCACGCATCTATTTTCCCGTGCAGGTAGCCAGCACACAGCATCCTGGCAGTGAGCTCGCCTGCGTACATGCACGAACTGTTGCACCTCTTGGTACCGATTAAGGGAACGAGCGCTTCCTTCAGCGTGTCGGTAACCTGCACTGGGGAGAGAAAGAACCAAGAGGGAAACGACCTGCAGGGAGCAAGAGGGGACAAGCAGGGCACCAGCTGGAGAAGTCAGAAGATGATGGGAAAGATGGGATTACCTTTTTGGGATTACCTTTATGGGATTAAATATAGCCAGGCACGCCGGAGCTGTGAACGTGGGTTGCAGAGCTGCTGGAGCAGGGGTGGGATGAAGGCAGGAGGGGGCATTTGCAAGCTCACACGCAGCACGGAAGGGGCTGGACAGGGCCGGTGGGGAGCAAGGAGAAAGCCTCTGGTTGGTGCTGAGTGGCAGGGACAAAATGGGAGCTTACCTTGGTCTGGTCTGGTATAGCCCCAGCCGGAGACCCAACACTGCGTGCCTTGGAAGAGGTCCTGGTGAGAGGGGGGCAGACACACAGCGCGGATGGCATCTGGTAAGAAGGTGACAGGGCTGAGGGCCAGGCCAGCGGGGACAGCTTTGTGTTGGGCTGGGCACGAGCAGGCAGGGAAGGGCTGCGGGGCTACCAGCCCGCAGTGAAAGAGGCCCGGGCCGGGCACGCTGGAGACGTCAGCTCCCACAGCCACCTTCCCATTAATTCACAGCTCTGGCACAGTTCCAAACACCACGCTGCTGTGCGTGCTGGCCCCCAGGTGCCAGGCTGGATATCCTTAAAGAGCTGCTCTGAAATGGTAGGTTCAGAAGAGGCTGGGTTTTGGCCATCTCTTAACTGTGGGATAAGACAGACAACTCCACAGATGGGAGACGGACACAACAGCATCATACCTGAGAAATTCAGGGGGACTTGGAGCTTCATCAGAGCAATGTCGTAGTCGAGGCTATTGTCGTTATAAAGCGGGTGGTAAATTATTTTCTTTACTGATACCCCAGCCTCCTGCTTGATCAAGCCATGGGTGGTAACGCCTGCAAAAACCAGCCAGGTGGAGGCTTGAAGCTGCCTGTAACTGAGCAGAAACACAGCGTACCTCTTACGGTCGGGCAACAAGCGCCCAGGCCTGGGGTAAGAGCGAGTACTCGGCACCTCCAGAAGTACCTGTGCACGCAGTGAGCCGCCGTGACGATCCATTCGCGAGCCAGCAGCGAGCCTCCGCAGTGGTGCTGGGAGCCCTGGTACACGCTGACCTGCCAGGGCCAGCGCCCGGGGGGCACGTCAGCCCCCCCAACCACCCGCGCAGCACCGGGGCGCAGCCCGCACTCTGCAAGGCAGCCGGGGAGCACGCGTCGGGTGAAGCTCCGGGTGCCAGACCCTCAGGCTGGAGGGTGAGGGAGGCGAAGAAACTGCTAGATCCAGGTGGAGGTCTTGGGGACACAGGAGAGGGGCACTCACCTGAGCATTTCAGAGCCACGATTCGACCCGATTCACAGCCGCTCCTGCGCAGGAATAAGCCTTTGGTCAGAATACACATGAACCGCAATCCCTGGGGCATTAGGGAGCTCCAGGGCAGCTGCGGCAGCCCCCAAAGGCGCCGCTTACTGCACAAAACCAGGACAGTTTTCTGTGTTCTTAAGCCTGAAAGAAAGGCCTCTGGTTTTTTCAGCCCCGCCAGCAAACTCTGCTTCCCCCAGACCTGCCCTTACCTGACCTGCCACATGTCCTCCGGGCTCCCTTCCTGGGGGGGTCTCACCTGAACGAACTCCTGTGTGTCATTCACCTTGACGTCCGTCAGGTTGACTCCTTTCTGATGGGTCATTCTGCAGAAGCAACAGTAATGTCCTGGGAAGGGCTGGGGACCTGCTAAGGGATCAGGAATTTAACCCTGCTGTGGGAATGGTCCACAATCCTGCTGCTCTGGCAGCTGGGAATGAGCCTCCTCGGCAGGAAGGATCTTCTGCAGCTCTTCTCGCAGGTCCCCATGCCAGCCTGAGCCCCGCTTTCTGCCCTGTGTTCACCAGGGAGCTCTGCTGTCTGGCACCGCTGCCCTGAGAAACCTCCCAGCCCTCGATCATCCCCCTCGGAAAAGGGCGAGTAGGGATGGAAGCGGCTGCCTCTACCATGCCCACCTGAGATACCCGAGCTGCCGGCAGAGCAGGGTGCCCAGGGAGAGATTCCAGCGCTCGTGGCATGCCAGGAGCCAGCCGGGATGGCCTTCCACTTGTGCTTCCAGCAGGGAGTTTGCCACATTTATTCTGAAAGACACTAAAGCCATCCCATTAAAGGCGACCTGCAAGTTCCCTTCCTTGCAGTGTTTTGCGCAGGGCCAGCACAGTTGAGGGTCACGCACATCTAAAACAAACAAAACAACCCAAACCCCCAGAAAAAGCCATTTGAATCAATTAGAAAGTATACGTGCACCTATTTACATATTCTCAGTGCCTGCATGGCAGCTCTGCTGAGCGATTACGTGCAAAGGAGTCCTGCAAAGAGCTGCCTTTGCTGCAGGATCCCTCCATGCAATGAGGCCTCAGTCCTGGGGGATGCAGGAAGACTTAAAAGCAAAGTGAAACCATCGCAAAATGCAGCTGAAAGCAGCTAGTGGGTCAGCAAGAGATATTTATTATTAAAGAGCATCTTTTCTGTTCTTGCTGGGCTTGGCAGGCACAGTCCTGCACACTGCTCCCCGCTCCCCATCCTCTGTGGCAACAAGCAAAGATGTAAACCTCTACTGGGAGCCCCACGGACCACGGGGTCTTCCTCTTCACCGTCACTGCATGCTGGGGTCGCATATGGCTCCTGCAGCGGGGTGAAGCCCTGGTCTGGCTGAGGCTTCTTCAGGTGTTTCACTTCAGGAGACAGAGGAGAGGGTGGAGGTGGACTCACGCAGCCTGGGCAGTATCCGAGGCTGCACAATATTTGGGACGATCCGGCACTGCCCGCTGGAAGAGGTGATGAGCCTCCCAACGGGCACAGCTGCAGCTGCTGGGACCACAGCAACCAGCACAGCAGAGCCCGCGCCAGCCCTGTCCCCCCACCCCATGCCGCCGCTCACCGACCGAGCAGCCCCCATCGCTACCACCGCTGCTGCTAGCACCCCCAACTCGCTCGCCAGCTTGGCGGCCGGGCTCTGCCCGCAGCGGCAGGGCTGTCCCCAAGAGGACACTGACCTAGGAGCCATGCCCCAGCTGCCGTCCCCGCCAGCAGCCCGGCGACCCCGAGCACCAGGAGCAGCCTCCTGGCGGTGCAGAGAGCTTGAAGAGATGCATTAGCAGAATCTTTAAGAAACAGAAATGGAGAGAGGATTAACATGGTCTTGTGTGTCTCTCTCAGCACTATCAACCACCCCCGTGAAGTCCCTGGGTCGTTATATGCCTGTTCCTGGGACTCACCCAATCCTTTCCCCGCAGTGCCAGGAGGAGGTGAGCTAAGGCCATGGATTCTGCAGGAGGTCAAGCCTCGGGGGGCCCCCCTGTTCCCAAAGCCCAGAAATAGCTCACCCACCGTGTTCCGGGGAGGCCCGTATCCTCCTTGCTTCCCTCCTCGGCTCTGCTGTCAGGCTCCCGTGGCTTTGCACGGCGTCCTCGACGGGAGGCGGGTTGTCGGAAAACGGCTCAGCTGGGCTCTAGGAAAAGGAGCGGAGTCCCAGGGAGCAGATCAGTGACCAAGGCCAGGTCTCGTGGAAGGGGACGAGCTTCAAGCCATGACACCGCTTCCCAGGCTGGCTGCTGGAGCAGGGGGGCAAGGCAAGGCAGCGCTTCTCACCATGACGGCAAGGAGCGGGGCAGCTGCTGGTTTGGGATCCGAGCCCACGGGTCTCCTGTGAACCAGCTTGGGTTTCCCTCCGCACGCTCCCAGCTCAATGCCGTGCACGCGCACCGCGCAGCACCCGCCGCCACGCTGAAGGGACTCCTTGTTTTGGGGCCCCCCCTCGCCCACTGCCTTGCTCAGCACCCCCCCTGCCCCCCAGTCCCCCTGCTCCCAGAAGCGCTGCTCAGGCTGGGGAGCCCAGGGGAAACGGTCCTGTCCCTCCCCGGTGTCGCGCCGAGTGCGATCATACTTCTCCATCCCCAAAAGATAGAGCTGATGGCTCATTGCTCAAAATATCAATGAATTTTTAATGCTATTTACTCAGGGAAACTCCTATGAATATTTCACCATAGCCCTGTCTCACAGGTTCAGGCTGAGGGTTCGTGCTGTCAACGAACAGCACCGCGCGTGTTGTGCCACAAATTAAGCTGTGCTGAGCAGCCGGTGTGGCCGTCGGTCCCCGGGGAGCGGACAGACACACGCCAGCACCACGGGAGCTGCATGCTGCAACGCTGCTCAAGACCTGTGCTGAGACGCTGGTTACAACTCCCCGAGGTCGGGCTCCTCTTACAGCCTGGCACCTCGCAACCGCTCAGCTGGTGTGAAAACTGGGGTGGGTTTTTTTGGTTTTTTGTTTGGATTTTTTTCCCCCAGGCTCCCTATCTCATTTAGCCATTAGGCCAGAAAGCTGAGAGGCAATGGACAGGGCTGCAAATATCCCCCAAATCACAGCCTTGGCTCAGGGGCTGACTCTTTCCTGGTGGCGGCTGGGCTGTGCCTGGTGGCACTGGAGCACCTCCTCAGCCTACGGAGGACTGTAGGTGGTGCTGGAGGACTAGGGAGCACCGCTGGGAAACAACAGTTTCAGTGAAGCAACAGTCCAGGCTGCAGAAAGCATCCTGAGAACCCTTTGCTGGCAGCTGCCCTGGTCTGGGGCTCGGAGGAGAGGAAGGGTTCCTGCCCAGACCTCTCCTCCCGGCTGCCAAGCACCAGCCCGAGGTCCCTGCAGGACCAGGTCAGGTCATCTCCCCTCCGAGCACCCCACGCCCTGGGGCTGTCGGAAAGCTGACCTTTGGGGAAGTTAAATGAGGATGGGAGGCTGTGACCGCAGCCAGCGAAATGCAAACACCTTTGCTGCAACCAACAAAACACAAGGAGCAAGTCTCAGTCTATGCAGGGAAGATGCTAAAGCAGAGCCAATTCCAAAAAGGTACACTGGGAGTAGTTGAAAAATAAGACACATCAGTCAGTCCATGCTACCTCGCTACTCTGAGTCACGCTCGGTTTTTTCTTTTAAAACTCATTAAGAGAAGATCAATATTTCTATCGATGCTGCTTGCCTGCAATAAAAAAATAGATTAAACGGGAGAGCTTTCAAAATTAAAGATTGACACGCAGATGCAAGAGGTAGGAAGGAGAACAGCATTGCAGCTTTTCCCTCCTAGCGTTCATTGTTTTTCTGTGGCACTCTAGAAAAATAAAGTAAAAAAGCAGCAGTGGCGAGTACAGACATCGACAACCGCCTCAATGCCGGTGTCTTACACGAGTGCCTGGCAGGCGGCAGAGACGCTACGAAGCGGAAGACATTCCCTTTGCCATTTTCCTGTCTTATTCCCATTGAGCCTTCCCTCTCCCACCCGAGGAGCAAGCAGAGCACGGCTGCAAGGCAACAAGCGAGATGTCGGCTCGTGCTGCTGAAACACCCAAGCTGCAAAAGTCACGGCAACGAGCAGATCTAGCCTATGGTTTGTCAGATGACAGATTTTGAGCTTGTGCAATAACAAGGAAAAAATTCTCTGCCGTTATTCAGTCAGTTCTGCTGAGATTAGCAAGTAAGGACACATGAAATCGCATATTGAATGCCTGACCCTGATGCAGTCCTCTCCAAACTCAACTCAGAGGCTGCTGGGCGTTTCCAAGCTGGGATACAGACCCAGAGCTTGGCTCTTCTCACGCCAGCCGGTGCCCTGCTGCGCAGGTCTCAGCCTGCTTCCCAGGTCTCAGCCTGCTTCCCAACAGCAGGGTGTCCCAGGAAAAGGGGCTGCCTGGATGCTGCAGCCCTTCTGCGCTGGGCGCAGGACAAAGGAGTGGAAAACCAGTCTCCTCCCAACAAGCTTTCACCCTGAGGTGTATTTTAGCCCATATGCCCAATACATGAAGTTTTCAAAGCAGCTTTAACAGCCAGTTGCTAGATATTACTTACTTCAATTCTTTGTTTTAGGCTGTGCTCAGATTGCTCCATCCTTTCCTACACAAAAGCAGAGTTCTTCCTCAGGAATTTAGCCAGGGGGACCCTAAGTCTCCAAAAGAGTGCTACAAAGAAAATTTCACTCATCAGGATTTAAAGCCTCTCTCTCGTCAGTGCAGGTTCTGCCTCTTGTCTCAAGGAGACATTTTAAAATCCTTCCTGCAGCCTGAGCTCTGCCACTCCGACAGCTGGACAGCCCTGGTAGGAGCAAAACAGTATTTCAGTTTTAATTAGGGCTGGGAGCTCCCAGCAATATTTGCTGGATTCGATGCCTCAAACTGCATCCAAGCCGAGGTGCCTGGTGCTTGCCAGGTGCCAAGCGAGCTTGCCTTTTGAAAAGCAATATGAGAACTCCCGTTTTGTGCTATGAGGGACACCCAGTGTTTAAGTTCTTACGTGCGAAGCACTGAAGTGTGAAGCTGCAGACTACCCGTGCAAACCCCTGGAAGCCTGAATAATCTCTGTACTTACCCCAGAGGAATTCAGGAAGACCCAATAAAAAGCAGCCAAGTAAACATCAAGCAAGGCAGGATTCATTTGATCCTTGCAAAAGCACATTCAATCTCATGCTCCTAGACTGCTAAAGCAAAAAACTCTGCAAAAGCAGGGGGCAGGGGGTGGAGGGGGACAGTAAATGAGAAACAATAATTTATTTAATCTAGTAGCTGAAGTTCACAGGGTTTCCCGCCTGCTCCATCTGCTGGGTAGAAATCGCGGCACAAAACCACATGTAAAGGGGAGCTGGTGCGGTGGCGGGCGCTCCGACGGGAGCCCAGCGCTGGGCAGAAGCAGCTCCTCGCTTTGAGCAAGGACCGAGGGGACAGCGGAGGTGCGTCCCAGCGCCGCGCGAGCCGCTGCCGGCTGCGGAAAAGCAGCAGCAGGAGGTTGAGCTCCTGTGGATTAACGGAGGAGCAGGAGAAAATGGGATGTTCCGAGCAAAGCGCAGCAGCCCCCGCAGTGGCGCAGCAGCAGGACCTCCCAGCCAGCTCCCGGCATCTACAGGGGTAAGGGCAGGAGGAGACCCCAGCCTCTCCTGCTCCCCCAGCCCACAGGCAGCAGCCCAAGGAGGCTTCACGGCAGCGGCTTTGAAGAACTGAGAAGTCCAGGGAGGGAAGGCTTGCATCCCCCTTGCCCTGCCCAGGGGTGCTGCTGTGTGCGGCACTGCTGCGGCGTGCACGTGCTTGGTGTTTCTTTGCAGGGAAGCTGAAAAAAATCCCTGGATTGCTCTCATCCTGGCCTGAACAGGGCTGTGCCCAGAGCTCTCCCACGAGACTGAATGAGGCAACGCGGCCACCACATCAGGGCATCGCTGCCCAGGCCTCTTGCCCTCTGCTGGATCAGTTCCTTCCTTACCTCATTTCTTCTCTTGCTCCCTTTAGTCTCCTATCTAATAAAAGTGCTTCTCTCTGAGATAAGGCAGCTGCTGTAGGCCTGTAATGAGAGAAATGGCCAAAAGCAACAGCCTAAAACCTGCCTAATCCTGGTAGCAGTCTGCTAAATCTCATAATGGTTAATGAGTCCTGGATGTCCGGATCGTGTTTTCCCAGCAGTGATGCTGTGGTCAAAGAAAAAAAACCCCAACCCCAAACACAACCCCTCCCAAACAGCCTTCCAACCCCGACACCCCCAAGAGTTTCTTAACCCTTTTTCACCACTGCCTGCCTGTCCCCATCCCCATTTATTACCATCTCTAGCAGGGTTTACATCTCTCTGGAAGGGGGATAAACCAGCTTGCCCTCAACCTGCCACTGCAGTCATGGCAGAGACTCACAAAACATTGCCCTCACACTGCCATAAGAAATAAGACCTGCCAGACCAGATCTGACTAACCATCCCTCTCACCTATCTTGTCTCCAAGAAGGGCCGATATCCCAGACCTCGTAATGGGGAATTAATCACTAAGACTCTTTTTAACCTCAGGCAGTGGGATGCACTGCCATGAAGGAAGATCCTTTGTTTCTTGTATGCATCGGCCCTGTTTAATGGAACTGCACCTCTTTCCATATTTCATATAAATATCCAGTCCTATTTGGACATTTCCATAGAGTAAAAACTTTGTTACTCTAAACTTGATGCTTTGTCACCATACTGCTCATTGTAATGGTTTCTTTCATATCCTCTCCTGTGGAAGTGATCATCCCAAAGACAGTTAATAAAGTCCCATGTAAAAAGGAGCAGAGGAAAAGGCTGGTTCCCATGACCGCTAATGCCCAAGAAAGAAAGAGTAGATGGCCTGTGTCAGAGCTGCTGGTTCCCAGTACCTGCTCTGGACCACCGTGCCTGGTGGTTTGCTCTGCTCCAAAACCAGACTCGGAAGCCCAGAGGCTGCTGCAGGTGGCGGAGGAAGGGGTCACCTAAAAGCTTCCACCAGGGTCAGGTCAGGCCATCCTGCCCTTCCTGGCCAGAAGTCTGGACAGACCCTTGCTGGGAGGGGTTGGCTCCGAATGAAGCAGCCTCCGCTTCATTTACAGCTATCGGTGATCGCCCGCTTCTCAGTCTTGCTCCCTTACACCAGGATCAAGCTGAGAAGATTCAGCTTTTGGGCAGAGATGTGCAATATGGGCAGCCTCATCCACTGAAAGCCAGAGAAAATATTTTGGGGAAGCTGCCCCCCCCCCCGGGCCACGCTGCATGCCGAGCCCTGCGCACCCTCTCGCCAGCCAAACGCCGCTCTGCACCAGGCTCCCTCCAGGAACAGCTCCCCACCGCGGTGCACACTTCCCAGGACATGAGCAGCCCTCGTCCCGGGGGCAGCTCAGCATGGATGTGCCTGATGCACCTCCTGCCCCGGCACGCAGGCGCGTGCAAAGCAGAAACTGTCCCCTGCCCTGTTCCAGCCTCTTTCCCAAGGCAATTTGCTATGTAATGATTATAGAGTTGAGAGAAGGCAATTTCAGGAAAATGAGTTTCTCTGTAGAAGGAATTGAATAGAGGAACTACTATAATAACCCAATACAATAATTTATTTAAAAAGCGGCTGGCACCATATGAAGCAGGCAGAGGCAATTTA